TTCTATTAGCTATCATATGTGGGGTTTGTTTAATTGTGGGTCTATTATATTGTTACTATCCCTGCAATTTTAGTTATGACATATGAACTCCTTTGTCTTGCTTCTCTCTTGCAATAATATTAAGCTATTGTTTCAAACGGTTTCAAGTACATTTACTAGGTGTCTGCAATCCCATTGCTAACTGGTTAATTAATTAGATGTATATTTTATTACTTGGATCTTTGTAGTTTGCATTAGCTTCCTTCCGTCGACTAGGTGTTATCATAATTTAGAAAAAACAGACTTCGTTCGCTCATACTTCACTGTTCATTGGATGAGCCATGAAAATTTACTTACCCTGAATTTATGAAATCCTATTAGCCTATATTCATCTCCTAACGGCTTGTCTTTTGGTGTTTTTAAATATTATCTTAATTAACTAATGTGAATATTTTACCTTGTTCTCTTTTTAATATGTTATTGTGTTTTTGAGACACTATTTGTCGTGCCCCGATTCGAGACGAGGTTGATGCTAAATAGGCTTATACATTATGGTACTATAACACAAAAATTAGATTTTGTTGCTTAGTATAGAAACTACATATTGAAAATAACTTATTCCTCAAGATTTCGACTATTGCATTGTACATTATTGTTATGCTACTGCTGAGGCCCGTGTAAATCCACTTACCAACTCAATATCATCAATCGACAGATTCCCACCTTACTAGCATAATTGCTTTCCAGGTTAAGTCATATTTTCATTAAATAGTTTTTGAATCACTTCACTATAGCCATAGCATCGGAACTTTGCCTGTGGGTCATTCTGAGTTGTGCTTCGTAGCATTAATATAAATTAATATCATTTTTGTATATATACACTTCTCATGTGGTCATTATATTCACTGTAAATTGACAATAATTTTTGAACGTCTTTGTTATCATAGGAAGATTTATTTTTACTATATTTGGAAACAGCTGTGTAAAATTAAACACTTGCATGCGGTAAGCTGGTTCCATCTTCCTACACTTGCCTTGTGTTCGCATTTTGCTTAACTCCTTTCTCCATTTGGAACCTCAAACACTTCACGACTTGGCGTCTAGAGCAATTTTCGTTTGCTGACCACTAGTGTTGTGCCAGCAAGTTGATCATAGCAGGTCCTCTTGTCAACAAGTCTGGCTCTGGCCATCGCACTCAAGGCCCATAAAAGGCTCCATGTGGATGGTAAGGCTTTTTTCCAACCTCTGACGTCTAGGTAAACGCAGGCAACAGCTACGTAGTCAGCCGCCACGACCAAATGTTGAGCATGTTGGCACGCCACACATATCAGTTGGCAGAGACCAGATCGGAGGCGACTAATATCATATTCTCCATCACATTTTAGGCAGTAATCAAGACTAACAAGTGCTAAACTGGCTTGAGTGAACGCAGACAGCAGGAAGTGATAAAAGTGGCCGAGGCGTAGAAAGGCATGAGGGGCTATAGTCAGCGTTTGAAGTATTGCTTGAATCAGACCTGAATTGCAGAAAATCCAGTTTTTTATAGATAAGGAGCTTGTTTGCCATGTCGGTGGCACGGATCTCTGTGATTGAGGCTGAACCAGTTGAGAAAGAACGTAGTTGGACTGCAAGGCTATTTTATTTGAAGCCATATAGCTTCTGATAACCAGATAGCTGGCCCAGATAAGGCAGACGAGAGCGTCGAACAGATGGAATGCCAAATGGGTGGGAAGAATGAGAACGGAGATACGTGTGTGTGACCATACTCTACTCTTTTGCAGCCGAGGCCAACTAGCCACAAGAACATATCCGGCTGACAGACAACAATATATAGCAAATAGGCAACGCATCAGCAGCATTCGGCGAGCTAGTTCACTTTTAATTATTTTCGCCTGACTATATTGCTGGCTTTGTTGGATTTCTTGCTCCCCCGGCACCTCTAGCGTTTGATGCTGTCCGCTCC